AGGATAAGGTCGGTACAGCTAGTAGATGATGCAACTAGTAAGTGATGCGTTCAGTGTCTTGGTCTCTAAGTGAGAATTGTTTAGTAATGTAGAGACCCAGTCCACCGAATTTAGTTAGCTTTCTAATTAAGTCTCTCACCTACCACCCACCTACCACACCCACCTACCACTCACCCATCTCACCCACCTACCGCTCTCATAGTTTCTATAAATAGCCTCTTATGGCTAGTCATAAACAAGCCTACAAGCTAAGCAAGGCCAAGTCAAGTTATCTTGCGAGCTAAGAGAAAGAGAGGAAGAGAGAAGAAAATAGAAAATTTCTTATAAACGTCGAGGCGCTCGACGGTATAATTCTTCGAAGAAATAAATCCTCTGCAGCTCCGTGGACGTAGGCAAATTTGCCGAACCACGTAAATCTGTGTCCCTCTGATGTTTTTTTCTGCGTGCAATTTTTTTCTCATTCCATTTTTCGCTTTATTGTCGTCGTTTTTCACAACACGAATAACCTAATATATACGCAACTCTGCGTACGTCTTACGTACCCTCTGATGTTTTTTTCTGCGTGCAATTTTTTTCTCATTCCATTTTTCGCTTTATTGTCGTCGTTTTTCACAACACGAATAACCTAATATATACGCAACTCTGCGTACGTCTTACGTACGCAAATATTTCTCCTATAGTTGCCCCTATTTAAAATAAAGATGGTCCGTTTTTAAATTAGATGTAATGTACTTATTTAAATAAATTATCTTAACAACATTGTTGACCTTCAAGTATATAAAGTGTCATTTTAGCTTTTAATGACATTAGTTTATAAATAATAACAAAAAATTTACTCATATTATATGATTAGTAATTGTCGATTAATGCATTTTTTAATATCCCCATTAAAAATATAGTCCAAACAATTTTTAATGCGTGAGAAATTTTTTTTTCACATATTTAGTAAAAATAATAATAAAAGAGTCCTCTTTCATAATTTTTTTAGGTAAGAAGTTAATATAAATTATGGAAGCTTTAAGGCCAAAATTAAAATAAATGCATTAAAAAATTAAGGGTGCGGTCGGACCCGCGACCTTCGTTTAGTGTAAAAACTCAACCGCGTTTTAGAATAAGCGTCCAAAACGTGTTTTCCAAGCAGTGAGGCGGCGATTTCAAAACGCCGCCCGCACTTATAAGCTGTTCCAAACAGACCCTGTATAGTAGACTCAATACAGGGTAGACCTGGCTCACCAAAATATTTCTCTGGAAATGTACATATGCAACACATAATTCTTATGTTTTACATATCTCACCCATAAATTTTCATTTTTACGTACATACGACGCTATGATGTTTTAAACACATGCATGCATGATTGCATAGAAAGAGGGTTTGCACTTCTAAAAAGTGATAATAATATTATTTTTTATGTTATATTAAAGATTTGAGTGATTTATGTGTAAATATGTAGGTTTAGGTGTGAGATGTAAATGCATATGATTTGTGTGGTTATATTACACTTTAAGTGTTATAAACATATGCATAAAAAATGTATTTTACTTTAAAAAATCAATAATGATGATATTTTTTATATGATGTTAAAATTCTATGTATTATAAATGTAAATACGAAAGTTTAGTCGTTATATATGTAATGATATTGGAATTATGTGGGATTTATGTAAATGCTTCTAATATTTTGCTGAATAATAAAAAATTGAAGTAAATTGAAAATGTAATATGACAAAAATTGGACAAAAGATTAGTGCAAACATTGGTTAATAAATAGCAATTGTATAATATTTTCTATGTCAATGAAATGGACAGGTGGCAGTTAGAATTAAATCTATTGCTGACAATTCCTGACTTAATTCGACTCAATTGCCCCCTTGAAATGGGAAAAATTTTGCGTACGTCAAGGGGTACGCAGAGATGTGTACATAATAGGATACACAGAGTTTATACGGGGATTACAAGGGGTTATAACCCGTTGTACCTCCCGTGTACCTCCCGTGTAACCCCGCTGTAACATTGTAATCTCAATGGATAAAATAAACGCGCGGGTTAAAGCGGAGTTACACGGAAGTTACAAGGAAGTTATAACATGCTTGTAACTCCCATATAACGCCCGTGTACCATATTATGTACACATCTCTGCATACCCCTTGACGTACGCAATTTTTTTCCCTTGAAATGACCCATGCAAATAACATTTGGGAATTTACATGCTTGCTACAAAATTTGTATGTATTTACATATCTAAACCTAAACATTCATATTGTGAAATATTGTTTCTATCATAAGGGAGAAGAAATGAAAAGTCGAAGAAGGTGAAGCGAAGAGTTGGAAGCTGAAGGGAGGGAGGTGAAGTGAGAGGGTCGGGAAAACGAGTGATTATTTTGGAGCAAGCCAGGGCAAGTCTATCAATTTAAGCATCATCTAGATGAACACTCATACTCTTAAATTATAGTATTGTTTTAGTATTTATTCTAAACCAGTTGTATGGATTGGTATTCATTCTTGATCAATAAAATTCATTTTTCTCTTATTAAATTTTTTTGGTTATCTTGATACAAATGCTTATAGTCACATATTATAAAATAATTGATACATTATAATATAACATGTTGAGTGATACAAAATATGAATCATATAATCTACGTAGAGTGATTGTATGTGTATGTTTGACTATGATAGTCACCCATTGATGAGACTAGTGAAAAAACACTAAAATATTCGTGCACATAATAAAAAATGATATTTATCTTAGATGTTGCTCCTGTGACGGTTGTATAGATATAAAAGGGTATTGATATGTCATTGATATATTAATATTAGTTGATGTCATAATAAATATTTATATTGATTTACTAAAAAATTTAACAGACATGCATTTTGTTTTTGTTTTTTTTTATATTGTTGTAGCTTAGGAGTATGAGTATTCAATGATTTATTTAACTCATTGTTATTTTATAAACTAATTTTCAAATTAATTAAGTGATTAAAGATGAATGATAGATGAGGAAAAAGGTATAAAAGATGCGAACAACCGGTAGTGAGGTAAAATTAAATATATTATTTTAATTTATTTTGATTAGTAATTCTTTTATCTATTAAATAATAACAGAATGTACAAAATTAAATTCACATCATCTGACTATCTGTTCGATAATTTTAAGTTCTCATCCGAGTCATGACACATTTATACATAATTTCAATCAAATCTTTAACCTCACATCAAAATGTCACCATCAATTTCTTTTCAAAAGTTAAAAACTTATTTTCATACATATTTTTATGATAACAAGATGTTACAAGTTTAATATTATACTTCGATGGTTGGACATGTAAATACGTAAGGACATGTAAATACGTAAAAGACGTGTCATGTTCATGCAAACTTTTCATAAAATTTCCATCATTGCAGTAAAAGAATTGAACTTTGTTGCTTTTACTAGTTGATTACTCTATCATTTTATTTCCATAAAATTTTAACCAGATTGGTCTTATTTTCAAAATTACCATTTTTTTTTACAAAAATTAGACTTGTAAAGCTTTTTATTGTGTTTTTTAAAAAAATGTAGGGTCGAATTAAAAACTCCTTAAAAAACTAAAATTCTTCCATAAAAAAACATTTTTTGCAACAATTATCATCCCAAAAATGAAGAAATTAATTTAAATTTGGGAGTAATGTTTAATTTATAAAAATTAAGTTGACATATTTCTGTATGTATGCGACTATGCGCGCGCGCGCGCGCGCACACACACACACACATTTGTATTTCCCTTTCTAAAAATTTAAACAATGATATTTTTAATTAAGCTATAAAATATTTGATGGGTATAAAAGTAAAAAATAAAGTTTAAATGTTAGATACATAACACAAACAAAAAAAAAAATATTCCACACGAATTTCGAGAAAATTTAACGATCAAGGTGAAATGATAAATGACGAAAATGTAGCAAAAATCAGTTATATAAAAGAACATAATGGCCTCCAATTTATCAATTAAACTAGAGACAAAAAAAAAATAGTGGTAACTTATAACTGTCTCATTAAAATATGGACAATTATGTAAATTTAGATTTGATTTCTCTTTTTACTATAATTAGAGAGTCCATAACGTGTAAAAATGAGTCTATTTTCCTTGGATTTTTGTCGTGTACATTGGTAGGAAGAACTCTCTCTTTTTTATGTAACCACTATTTCTTATATATGAAAAGGGTCAAACAGGCCCATGATACCCGTTTCATCCCTGCAGGATAAGTCTGTGTCTGCTATTTCTTTTTCTTTCTCTATCTATTTTTTTGTCTCCCTCAAGAACTCTATTGTTTCGATTCTTGGGAGTAATTAACATAAATAAATTTAAATTCTAACACATAAGTAGGAGTTGAATGATATGTTCCCTTTATAATTTACAAACCATCACTAGGGCTGTCAAAACGGCTCGTTATTCGCGAACAACTCGTGTTCGACTTGTTTAGATGCTCTTATTCCGCTCGTTTTCTAAGTTAATGAGCCGAATTCGAACAACACGACAAATATTTATTCGTTCGTGTTCGGCTCATTTTAGCTCGAAATACTAATCATATATTCATCATCTAGAACGCTACAAAGATTTATAATCAATTAAAAGTATTAATTAATAAAATAAAATAAAAATTATTAAATTAGATTCAAATGATATTTTAAATCTTGTCCCAATACTTAATATCTTATGGCTACGTGTTTTCTTTTGTCAAAACGACTCTTTGTTTGTGAACGGTGCGAGCCGAACACGAATATATTTTTGAGCTCGAAATATAAACGAGCCGAGTTATAAACGAGCCGAGTAGAGCTTATTCGATTCGTTTACACCCCTAACCATCACATTAAAAAAAAAAATAAAACCCCAAAA